TCTCTCATTTCCTCTGGAACTCCCACATTGATATATTGGTACATTTGATGATATCTTACAGGCTCCTTAGGCAATATTTACTTTTTCTCTCTCAGACTCAGTAGTTTTCATTTTTCCTTCTTCAGATCCACTGATTCTTTTTTCTGCCTACTCATATCTTCCTTTCAATTTTCTAACCAACTTTTCATTTCAGTTACTATAATTTTTAGCTCCAGATTTTTTGGTTTCATTTTAGGTTTTCTATAACATTGTTGATTTTTTTTTCTTAGATCACGTTCCTGACTTTACCCCAATCTCTGTTCAGTTTCTTGAGCCTCTTTAAGTCAGTTTGAAAATCTTTTTCTCGTATATCTGCCATCAGGTCTTTTTCAGGGACAGTTTCTTTTGCATTATTGCCATTTTTTAATGGGCTATACTTTCCTGTTTCTTCATATACCTTATGATTTATTTTTGTTAGAAACTGGACATTTGAATCTATTAATGAAGTAGCTCTGGAAATCAGATTTATTCTTTTGTGGTAATTGTTTATTGCTTTTATTTTTTAATTGTTGGAGTTTATCTCTGTGATGATCAGCCTGAGCTACAAGCCTAAGGTCTTCTGAGGTCTGTTAGAGCTTTTCCTTGGGTGTGCACAGTAATTTTTAAACCTCTGCCATATATGTAGTTTTTGCTGTCTGGCTTCTGAAAATAGAAATAATGAAAAATTAAGTGGTAGGAAAAAGGGCAATGGCTCTTTAAATCCCCTTCACTTTCAACAATGGGAGGAATTATAACAACATTGACTACCTGCTTTTTTATTTGTACCTCTATGATCAGATGCATAAATCAGCTATAAATGCTTAAGTGTCTATTATTTAAGGACTGGGTCCTTTTTGTTAACTCTGGTTCTTATAAGAATGTGTGCAGGTTGCTCCAAGAACAGCTGCCTGACACAAATTGAGAGGTCAGGGATGGATAGCTGTTACTGTTCTAAAAGTTGAAATTACTGAAATCAACCAGAATTATGGTCCAAGCCTTCCCTTGAAAGTTGCAAGCCCATAGTAGATTCTAGAGTTCCAAAATAATTGTATCAGACTCATTCTTCTGGTGAAATTGGTGTTTAGATAGGGAGACATATTTGTTGTGCTTCCTTCACCACCATATCAAAAATGCTCTCCCCACAGTAATTTTGATAGAGTTCATCTTTTTTCTTGCATTTGAGTTCATGTGCAAGAAAGTGGAATTCCACAGCCTAGATGCAACTGACTCTATTCCTTAGCATCAACACATGGCATCTTTGTACCCTTGATGAGTAAAGCCATCAAAAACATTACCTAGCACTCTCAGGAGACCTAAACAGTTCTAGGATAGTGGTCACTGCCTACTTCTCTATGACCCATGCATTTCGTAATTATAGATTCTTTCAACTATGGAATTTAGTATTTTGATGGATCAGGAAGTAGAAGCAAAAGTTTCTGGTGAATTTTTCATTCAATATGGGTAATGAAAGCCCCCCAAAGCTGAGTGCATTGGGAAATTTTATTCACTATTCTTTCCAACTTGTGGTTCTCAGGGGTTAAGCCAGTTTAGTGATGGGCACTTTTGGGTGCACACATAGTCTAGGAACTATTGGAAATTACACTGTGAAGTTACCATGTTAAAGTTAAATAGATTGAAGCTAGTTTTAAAAAATCCAAATAAGTCCAGATGAGTAGAAGTGATTAAATCATGAAGATAAACAGGGTAGAAAATTGAGGAGAACTAACACATGGAAAGGGTAGAAACAAATGCAAAAAGAAAAGCTAGAGGAAACCTTTGAACCAAATGTACATTCATGGAGGTATTTTATTTGGTGCCCATGGCCATTGATACAGATGAACTGAAATCTAATTTTAAAAAGATCAAGAGAAATAGATGTGTAGCTCCTTCTTTATTATCATTCTTATCTTGCAAATTTATTCATCTGTCTCTCCCATGCAGTGATTCCTAAGTCTGGGAGAGTCTACTTCTTACATATTTCTCAATCTATTTCTCTGGTGACCAGAGTAACCTATCTAAAACAAATCTGACAGTTACATTTTTACTTAAGTGCTTCAATCCCTCCCAGCTATACTCATTAAGTACTAATGTTCAAGGCAGCATGGAAGACCGATAATTTGAGATTTTGCTCCTCTTTGTTTTTTCAAACTCATCTCTTACCATTTCCCTTCCTTTTCTAGCCTCAATGACTTATTGGTATTTCCTGGAATATGCTATTTTCCTTCATGACTCAGTTCCTTCATGACTCAGTTCCTCTGGATTCCATTTTGAATGCTATACTCTTGTTTGTCTGCCAAGTCCTCTAAGATTTTCTGCTTTGTGAAGTCTTTTTTTTTGTTTAAGACAGGGTCTGACTATGGAGCCCAAGCTGGCCTTGAACTCTCCATCCTCCTGCCTCAGCCTCCCAAGTGCTGGGATTAAAAGTATGTACCCATATCTGACAGCCTCTTTGAAGTCTTTACGGACCTATCAAGGCAGAACTGAATGTACCTTCCTCAAGACTTTTTATGTCTCTGGCACATAGCTCTATTTTAGCTCCTGCTGCAGTAAATTGCAATGATGATTTGAAAATCTGAGTGTTTCTAGAGAATATGAAACATATCTAATTAACTTCTGTGCTTTCATGGTCTGGCACAGCTCCTGACATACAAGGGGTCTAAATTTGTCTGAATACCCAAAATGTTTTGAATAAACAAAATATTTTTTGTTTAAAGCAGGAGAAACTGTCAACTAGTTTATCTTGTTAACCTCTTGGATCCAAGATTTGTTATATAAAATGATAGTAATTCCTTCACTAACTTAGTAAGAATTAATTGATTATCTACTCTAAGCATGGGAAAACTAGGACCAACAAAAGTAGATATGTGCTTTATTGCTGTTGTGAAGTTTAGAATTTATTGAAGATGCCAGGTGTGGTACATATCTGTAATCCCACTTCTTGGGAAGCTGAGGAAGGAGGGTCATGGGTTTGAGGCCAGCCTGGCTACATGAATAAGACCCAGTCTGAAAAAAAATTATTGAGGAACCTGTTATAACATTTTTAAGAGTTATTAAATAAAAGAATTATCATAAATAAATAAAATAGGGCATATTTTAGGATAATGTCAGTCTGAGATTGTTCATAACACAAGCCTTTCTGAAGCTTACTGGGCTACTTTCGTTTTACTTGCTGCTGGTTTGCCTCTTGTTCACCAGCATAGAAAAATCCTTTTAGTTGATAATCATAACAAATTAAGAAACAAACAAGCAAAATAGTTGTACATTTTGTTTTAATCCAGGAAAAATTTTGTTTTTAGGACTCTGTGAAGGGTTGGGACTCATCAGTGACTTTATAGTTTACCAAGTAAAGTTTTGTATTTGTAGCAGTATTTAGTTTCACTTGTAGGAAAGTCAAAGAAATGTAGGAGGAGCATTCAAGAACCAGCAAAACAAGATCACTTTCATAGGCTAGAGGGACTATCTTGAAGCAGTGAGATGTTATTGAAATGTATCCAAAAGGTCTGCTGAGAGCCAATAAAACACAAACTTCAGTCTCCAATAGGGTGATTGGAGGAATGAAAGAAGCTGCCAGGCACTGGGATTTTGAAAATGGAAAAGGAGCCCATCATCCACCAAAACCAACCCTCCCCAAAATATAGCTCCTATAAAAATTACATATCAGAAAATATGAACAAATTCAAACCAGGTTCCTACTGACCTGATATCTCCAGAGGGTTGGGTAATGCTTCCTTCTCAGTTGGGATTAACGAAAAACAAGGGCAGACTTGGAGTCAAGCAGAGAAGTGAAATATAATCAGTTAGGTTCATTAAAAGGCACATCAGCCAGCACTACAAGTCGCTGATAGTCTTTTTAAAATGATGTTTAAGACAGGGTCTTCTTTCTTTCTTCCTCCTTCTTCATTCTTCTTCTTTCTTTCTTTCTTCCTCCTTCCTCCTCCTTCTTTCTTCTTCTTCTCCTCCTCCATTCCTTCTCCTTCTCCTTCTCTTCTCCTCTTCCCCTTTCCCTTCTTTTAGTAGTACTGGGGTTTGAAATCAGGGATTTGTACTTGCTAGGCAGTTGCTCTACCACTTGAGCCATGCCTCCAAATACTCTTTCTTTGGTTGTACTGTTTCCCTATAGCCCCTCAGTTAGAGCTGATTCATAATTGGGAATTGTTGCAGATCAGAGATGCAATTTTCTTCTTTTTAGGTGGCATGTTTCTGTGGAAGAGACATTCTGTACAGCGGTTACACTTTAAATCCCTCACTTTAATCTATAAAAAGATTTAAAGTACAAGACAAAGTTGCAATTTCATTTTGAATCCAAAATAGTAGTAATCTCCTAAATTGAAACTAAGTTGTTTTTAATTGTAAGCTTTGAAAAAAATGAAGTATTATAAAATTTATAGTATTAGTGTAACAATTAGTTCACTACTATTAATTTTTCCTCTTTGGGGAAGTCTCAGAGAAGATAACACTTTTCTTGATGAGGTTTTTGAAATAAAAGTTGTATGGCTAGGGAAGTAGCTCAGTGATACAGCATTTGCATAGCATATGTGAAAGTCGTAGGTCAGGTGGTGATTTCCTTCTGAGACTTAGGGAAAGAAGGAAATGGGGAGAGAATAAAAGCACAGATTATTTCATTGCTTTTTCTCATTTCTAAGTGGAAATCTACTTTGGTCTTCTAATAGACTAGCTCTCTTTGGCTTTGGCTCTGGAACTATTGTCCTGTCCATTAAAAGTAATCAAGGAATCCTAGCATAGAGAAATTTACAAACTTTAGTGTAAAATAACTAGGTTCAAAACTTTGGGTTCTCTATTTAAGAACAGCAAATATCTATGTACAAATGGGCAGTGCTTTTTTCAAAAATGGACTCTGTCAATTCCTGAATTAACTTTATCATTGTGACTTGGTTGTTTGTTTTTCTGGGGCTGAGCAGCAAATGTGAAGAGGGAAGGGGTTCTTTTGCTGCTTTGATGGCCAAGCAAGGTTAACAAAGGGCTCATTCTGTCTCGGAGAAAGGTAGGAGGTGCGCTCCAGGACCTGGAACAGTATCGTCCCCACTTCCTGGAATCTGGAGTGAATCATCACCACTCCTTGCTGAAGCAGGAATGAAGTCACCATCAAGCTCTCTGCCACCTGAGGCTCTTAACTTGATTGTCCCCATCAGACCTTCAAAAGAGCTAAAAGTGGCTGACTTCTTCATGTCTTGAAGCTTCCTGCAGATGGCAGAGCCCATGGTGGACAAAGCAGTTGAAGTCTTCTGCTTCACGTAGGCGTTGGAACTCTGAATGTCATGCCAACTCTTGGACAGATTCTGCCTCAGTCCCACCAAGGTCGCGAGGCCTAACTTCCTCTTGAGCTCCCCACAGCGTCTCTCTTTGACTGCCAGCACATCGCATAGGGTTAAGATTTCGGTCTCCCATTTAGTGAGCTCGGATTTGAGCTCCATTTGCTCCGTCTCTGTCAGATCTTCTGGTTCAGAAGTTGGATGATATTCATATGTGTCCACCAAAGTCTCTGTCATGGCATCTGGCAGGGACAGGGAAAGTTCTTCATTAAGTGAGTCCGGGTACAATTCTTGGCAGAAAGAGTCTGATCCTTGGCCTGTGGAGAAAAAATCGTGGCCGGCAGAGTTGAAATTCAGGCCTGCAGGCTCAGACTCCAGTCCTGTGGCATGGGACTCCAAGCAGGAATGTTCCATTTCTTGGCCAGAATTGATGGCTTGGCTGGTGAGTCAATGTACTTCCGGACTTGAGGAGAGGAAGCCTTAAACTCGTGTCCACTTCCGGGTGGTGGGTTGGATGTCCATTGGGGTTGAGATCAAGAAGGCGGGACTTCCGGCCCAAAGGGCTGGAGGCGTGGGCCCCTCTTCTCAGCTTGGAAGTCATGCACTGTAGCAGAGGCGTTTTGGCATCACAAGCGCTTTGTGAGGTAGGCACTGCTGAGGCTGTTATTGAGAAGAGGGAAAATACTTTCCTCCCACAGTAGTGACAAGTCCTGGTGTCCATATCAAGCCATCTGGCACCTCTTTCCACCAGTGTCTTTCAAACTCTTGAGAATCATTTGAGCCCTGAAGCTAACAGAAATTTATGTAAAAGCCCAGTACATACAATAAATATCACTGAATGGGTCATGGGGTTCAAAACTCTTGGGTTTCTTCCCTTTCTCACCTTCCGGTCTCGGGTTTCCAAAGGGGCCCTGAGAAACTCCCAGTATGACCCGTAAAGTACGTTTCAAGGTTCCACAGAACTCAGTAGTAACTGCCATGATTTCATTGAAGTGTATCAGCAGTGTCAGAGACCTGGGACAACAGGGTTCAGATGGTAAGTCTGACCAGTCACAATTGTATTTGGGGGGAGAGGTTGAGAAGGAGGAAAAATGAACATGTCTATACTTTTTTTTTCCTTCAAATTTAAGCTTAGACTGCTTAGACTTAAAAGCAAAGACTATTGCACTTGAAGAATTTAGGGAAGAAGAGATAAGGCATATGCAAATAGAGCATGGGTTTTCAGTACTGCAGTTGCATTTTCTTCCCCCTCTATAGCCATTCACATTTCTGAAAGCATACTTGCTCAGAGTTAGTTATCAGTTGTGAAAGGTGGTCTGTCCAGTAAAGTAGAACTATTTAGATAGGGCCTATCAGAGTGTCAACACATCATACCCAGAGTTTGTAATTTATACAATGGAAGAATCAGTCAAGTATCACTTAAGCTGTTTGGTTGCTCATTCTTAAGAAATGTCCTTGAGTTAGTCATAGATTCTCCTGATTTTCTAGTAATCCTTGCAAGCATGATCTTGTGGAGCATAATATGATGTTCTTCAAATTTCAGCAGTTTACCATACTCATGTCTGTGGCTACATCCAAACCAACTTTAGCTTTCCTTTGGGTCTACATTTAATAACCCTTTCATACAACTCAGTAGTGTTTGGTGTTGTCTTATCTGAAGGGTGAGCTTTCCTAGATTAAAATATCAAAATTATTCTTACTGGAAACATGAAGGCCAATGGGGAGATTTGCTTATATGTATAAACACCTGAAAAGGGCAGCAAGAACTCCCTTAAAACCATTTTATTCCTGAAGGTAAAGTTTTCCTCAATTGCCTGTACAAACACTAATGGTTTCAAGAATACTTCCAGCCTATGACCCCAAATTTCTCTTTCAAAACTGAGAATTAAGCGTTACAGAAATTTCCGAATTAGGCTTGATAACATGGAATGTAATATTGTTCATTCATAGTTGAAATTCCAAATTATCAGATGTGAACTTCCACTTGATTGTCCTTTGGATTGTTTTAACCACCAACCTGCTGTCTATTTTTTGTATAGATGCTTTCTCACTCTTCAACTGAAAATATGAATCCTGCCAGATGCTAGTGGCTCACGCATGTAATCCTAGCTACTCAAGAGGCAGAGATCAGGAGGATTGCAGTTGGAAGCCAGGCTGGGGCAATTAGTTTGTCAGACTATATCTGGAAAATATCCATGACACAAAAAAGGGCTGGCTTTAGCAGTAAAAGCACCTATCGAGCAAGTGTGAGACCCTGAGTTTATACCCTAGTTCTGCAAAAAAAAAAAAAAAAAAAAAAAAAACCTTTAAGCTTTAATTCCTTCTGATAAAGTATGGGTTTTTCCTCATAACAAGTTGACCTCTTTCAGAGACTTGGTTTCCTGATCCCAAATCAGGACATAGCCTCTGAAAGTGAGCCTTCTAGTTGGCAATGTTCTGACTTCCAGAGTAAATGTAGATAAATAAGTAGCACAATCTACTTTATTAGGCCTATGCATAACCACATACAAAACAATATATTTTGAAAACATTGATCTAGCAAAATGAAATCTTATAGGGATTTTAATCAGTTGTTTGGATAAGCTATCCCTTTAAGACATAAAATACCGAACTATCATCCCATAGTTTTTAAATTTCACATTCTACATTAGACAGTTAAATAATCTGTATTACATAGAGAGGCTTACAAAATTATTCATCTGAAACTGAAGATTTTTGAGGCTATTTAGGCACTAAAAAGTCAAAAACTTAATTCAGGATTCTGTGAAAAAAGAGGTTGAGAATTATTTGTAATTCTAGGTGGCTTACTATCCTTTATTAACAAGGAAGATATTGACCTATTTTTTAATAAAGAACTCTGAATTATTTCACTAGTAAGGGTGATAGGTTTAAACTACTCCTTTATAAAGTAAAAGTAGCATTGAATGATTTTTTTTTCTCTTTATGTTTAAAAGCCTGCATATGTTATATTTTATAAATAAATTCTTGAAACTTCAATATAAAATCTGAGCTATACCCTCTATCAGGTCTGGGTTGTTTGTAAATGGAAGGAGTGAAATTATGGTGACTGATTATACAGCCTGAAAATGATTAGGGAATTTATACCAGTGCCAGCAGTTCTAACCATTTGACTCCTTTTATTATAAATAATCAATATGTATCTTTCTGATTATATTGACTTGTAAAATAATCTACATTGGTGATTCAGATTGGTTCTAAAGAGCTGACAGCTTACCATGCAGCCTGGTCATTTGCACTGTTGTATTTAACCAAGTGAATTCTTTGTTTTTTTTTCTTCATAGTGAGTTCTTTAAAGTGTTATTTTTATTATTACAAAAGTACTACTATGACCATTTTGTTCATTTTACTGAGTACCAGGAAAAATGTTAAAATATCTAATTGAGCTTGAAAATAAGGCATGTAGTTGAAACTATAATCTAGTCAGAATGTTCAAGATTAAGAGGAGAAAAGTGGTAGTTGGACTTTTTTTGGTGGAAAGCTAGAATATTACAAGTGATTTCACTTTCAAGTTATTTTCACACTATTTAACATCATAGCCCAGCTCCATTAATAATGTATGTAGTGAGTTACCTCCTCATAGATACTGTCCAGCATCAACAGGAATGTTGGCTGCAATTTATAGCTGCAAGAACTACTGCTATCAATCTTCATATTTTAGTGGTTAAGTTTATCTTCATTTAGTACCAGGATGGCATTTCCTTTGAGCAACCTTCCTACTTGGACTAATTAGCTTTTTAAAAAAAAATTTAGGTATACTATCAGATAGTATTTTCCTTTCTGAAGCCCAAACATAACTGACTATTGGTATATTAAATTGACATTAAAACTTATTACTAACTATATTATTCCTTCTCTTGGTGATACGTACATAAAATTGTGGCAAAGTTTCCAGGAGAGTCTAGATTTGAGTCTGAAGAACCAACTGTATCCTACTCACCCAAAGTGTCCAATTGCATGAGTGAATATGTAAGGGAGGAAAGGATTTTTGAGGTAGAGTTTTTTTTAACAGATCTTAGGTGTAGAAGAAGGGGAATGATAGGGGGGATGAATGGAAACAAGGGAATAATAAAAAAATGTGGGAACTTGTGTGGATTAAAAAGCAAAGATTCTTTTTATTGGAAACATAAAGAATGTGTATATAAAGGCCTACATAGACTAGCAAAACTTCCTAAACAATGGTTTGCTCCAGCAAATGGACTTTTCCTCCATGGCTTATAAAAATGCCTATGGTTCTAGGAATTTTCCCAGACTCTGAATCAGAAACTTCCCTCTTAGTACTGAGGATATAGGACAAAGAAGCCTCGGAACTTTGGCTTTTGAATAGGGGCAGACATTGAGGGTGGATTCACATGGAAATAACTCTCATTTTTTTTCCATTTTAGTGGGAATAGAAAGGGGAACAGATCCTTCCTTTCCAGAAGTTTTGTAAACTTTACCTGTTGGAAAGTATAGCATCATGGAAATTAAGCCTTAGGGACAACAGTGAGGAGTCATCCAAGAGAAGAAAATGGACAAAGCTGATTTGTGACTCAGAAAAGATTCCATCAATTTCATGGTGGTGGATATAGGTTGTCTATCCCTTGCCAAGGAACCAAGGACTTGACATGTTTCTCTAGTCATGATTTGGAAATCTGAAGGATGCCTTTAAAGGGAGCAGGAGATGGTGAAATGATTAAGATTGCCACTTGCTTCTCATCATCCTGTTCCCCAACCTACACTCTTCCGGAATTATATGCATTTCTTGCAGAGGCATAAACTATGCTGCTAAAATGTCTGCAGGGGACCCAGGTTATTTAAAGGAGGTAGTGTTGTGTTTCTGCATGTATGACTCTAAAAACAGGAAAACTTAAATGAAGGCTGTATAGATTTTGAGTACCTAGAGATATACCTTCTGACCTAGGGCAGGATTAGGAGTGGCAGCAGGAAAATGTCCTTCAAATGCTTGGGTACAGAGCGGTCTTCTACAGAGAAGAAGCATATAAAAGGGTTAATCTGAGTATAGAGGACTCCCAGATATAAGTGGGATATGGGATGTGTGTGTTGAAGTCCTGAAATTGTCACTTAAGGTTAAAGGAAGCAAAATGGGGCCAAAGTAGTTGATTTGTATCTACAGGCTGCAGAGGCCTGAGAACAGTCAGGTTATTAATAGAAAGCTCACATTTTAAAGGTTCTGTTCATTGTAGTGGATTTGTTGTAGTGTAAAAAAAAACCTATGGCCTGCACTACACTCCCTAGGAGCTTAGCTATTCTTGTCTTAAACTGTCATGCCTACTATGGCAACAGCATAATTATTACTTTATTTCCTCAATTCTGAGACACAACCAATTGTAAGACACATCTTCGTTTTTATAAGAGGTTTTCTAGAAGGAAAAACAAAATAAATTAAGTTGTAT